GCCCATTATGGCACGGAATACCACTGTACACCCACTTTTCACTAGACCACAATCTCACACCCAATTAAGGGTGAGCCTATTGCCATATACCGGGTACAATTCCAGATTCCGTACTACTATGAAAAATCGAAAAATTACCACTAGTGCTATTGCCCGACCCGGGAATTGAACCTGAGACCCCTTGCGCGGCAGTCACACTAGCAACTTTTTTATCATTTTTAGTGTATAGCTATGTAGGTCCAATTTGCTACTTACAATCTACATAGGTGCAAAATTGTAATGAATACAAATTATGCAAGCACACACAAGGTACTTACAGTATATCGTTGAAGAGTTCCCTTAACAATTACACTTCTGATGATAAACATCAGACCCTTAATGGCAGTTCCCCCATCTAGGTGTAAAGTTGTCATCAATGCAAATTAATCAAGCCCAAACACAAGGTACTTAATATAAACCGTTGAGGATTTCCTCGACGGTCTGTCGGCTCCATCATCAGGTCTACTTCAGATCCTTATCAAATGGTAGTGTTTAAAAATCTTAATTGAAATATATAATAGACCCTTTACTCGCCCCTACAATTTTCGAAAGTTCCCCTCGATTTCCCTAGAATTCCATCATCAGATCCTGACCTCATGGAAATGGGACCATCTCGGGAGTATACCCTTTCAAACAAAATAAGATTTTTTTGGAAATCGGTTCTTAAATGGCGGAGTAATCAGTGAACAAAAAAAAATCAATCTGCCGAACATAGTACCTCTTCTTTGTTTTGAAGTCGGTAAAATGTGTTGACTTGTTCATTCTAATATTATAGAGACGAATGTTTGTTTGTTAATTGTAAATTATTTCACTTTCCGAATACTTATTCAGCGACTTTGTGTACTGACGAGTTGACGACGTTTGCCGGCTTATCCCATAAAAATGCCTCAGTGCGGATCATGATGCGGAGCAAGGGGGATTGGGATGCCGTCTTCTCCTTTTGCGAAGCAATCCTGCTAGCTAAGGAGGAGACGGGGCGCGAGTGGCAGCGGAGCGCTGCCTCCTCACAACCCAGCCATTGCGAAGGACACTCTGGGCGTCGGAGATCGCGGGACGATCTCCGGCCACCGTAAGCGCGGGCCTGCGGACGGCGAGCATGAGTGGCTCGCCGCCCGACCATAACAATACCCGAGCGTACAGCGCGTTGCGTTCCGCGAGCGCCTCAAAGAGCCATCAGACCACCACGGATGAGGCCCAATAGGGCTGATGCCGATATGGAGCCGCGGAGGACATAACGGGTTGCCAGAGTTCCGACTCGAAGGGCAGGAGTAAGAACGGGGTGGTTTTTAGTCAGTAAGAGTCTGTCACTCCCTCTCCAGGCGGGAGAAGTCATTCGATGATTTTCCCCCTTAAAAAAAACCATCAAAAATAGTAAACACTGTCAAATGTCAATTTTATTCTACAGTTAAGAATGATTATCTTTATCTGTTAATTGAAAAACGGCCCTTAGAGAAATTTACAAAATCCACGCAGGCAATTGCATAAATACCGTTTACTGTGTTATGCCGGTGCGATTACTACTGCTTTCTGTGTTACTGCAAAAAGTTGGGAAGTGTCTATACCACTAAGAGATAATACTTTATTTGAAAAAGTATGTTACAACGCGACGTCACAAGGCGATAGGACGCGTGTGTATAAATATTACTGTGATATGCACGTCTCATAAGTCAGACACCCAGCTCCAGCAGTGAAGCTCGTCTCAGTATAGCAGTGCGCGAGTACCTATACCTACAACAGCGATGAAGTTCATTGTGAGTACTATCTGTGCTTATTGAATATTAAGACGAGAATTCGAGAAGTATTTAATCTCGTTTGTTATTGTCCCGTAAATAGGCATGATGAATTGATCTTTTGACATAAAGACTCAATACACAATAGTACAATTTAGCGGTTGCGTAAAGTGTCGCAGGACGAAATTTATAAAGAAAGTCGTGTTAGTTACATGTTTTATAATTCAAGTACTGCGGAAGTCGTCTCAGTCCATTTCACGGCCAACTGCAGTAATGAGAATATCCTCAGTGGTGCTGGGGTCGAAATGGAAAGATAATGGAGATCATAATAACATTTATAATTATAAATACAAGTTATCTTCTTACGATGTCAAACAGTATCTAGGTATTCTTTTATGCAATGAGTTTCTTGTTATAATTTAAAAATAATAGCTGTGCCCGCGGTTTCGTCTATGTTGAAAGTACAAATTCGAAATCTGTTTCACCTACCTAGCTAGGAACAAAATATTATAAATTTACATTTTCACAAGACATGTAAAAATATTCGAAGAGAAAAAATGTTTTCCTAAAATAACTCATAAATTATTCTAAATATCCGAAGAATAAAATATATACGATATCTATATTTGAAACACTTCCTATTAAATACTACAGAATAGGAATAAAGCAACCCAAGTTATGCAGTTTACTGAATTTCTAAAGAACATCTCAAGTTGAGTTTAAACCATAATTATGGATACAAATACGTGCAGGACTGTCGTTACGATAAGGGCACTCGGGGCCCGTGCCCAGGGCCTACATCCTCAAGGGGTCCGGAAGAACCGACAATTTCTACGACGACGGACACAGATATCGTGAAATGGGCCTCGAATTATTGCGTGCCAAACGGCTCCAGCGTAGTATAAAATGGCCCTGAATACGTGAATAGTCAACATATAGATATTAAGGTAATCGTAATGATTTTAGAGTTGTCCATGGCAGTATTTTAGGTCCAACGCTATTTTATCATACAGCGTCATCACTATCATGATTGTATATTATGATGATGATGAAAAATAATTTATACTTCTACTAGTTGCTGCCCGCGACTTCGTCCGCGTATAAGAATGACTTCTGGCATAATTTTGGCATTTGAATTAGTCTTTATCAAAGCATATTCTACGGTGACGAATGTTGTCAGAATTGATTCAGTATGTTATATCTTTGGCGGATATAATGATGGCAACAATTAATAGTCTCCCAAAACTCTCAAAATATTTAACAAAATAAAAAAGGCGTGATACAAGGTACGCGGTTTGGAGACAAGTGATATGGCAGCACTTGTTACCCATATACGAGGGCAAGCGCCTATACAAATTTTCATAGCATGTTGCTATTAATATAAATTATGCATTAGCCGGAACAAGTACCTAGTATAGAGCTCCTCCCCGTAGATGATAGCCTGATAATATGTAGCCTATACGATGATCCAATTCATGTAAAATTTGAAGTAAATTCATGCAATGCTTTTTTGTAATCATAAATCGGACATACATACAGACGAACGGACAAAAATTTTAAAACCCATATTTTTGGCTTCGGTATCGATTGTCGGTCACGCTCTAAATATTCTTTTTAAAATATTCAATGTACAGATTTGACAATGTATAGATGTATGAATAATAACATGAACATTCTTTTACCATTGGAATCCTATATTATCGATGCTGAACATGGGCTATATTTAATAAAATTTTTGAAGTCGGTTTTTTAGTTTTTATTTTACTTACCATTTTTAATGTAAAGCTACATAGATCCGTTTTGCCACTTATAATCCACATAGATGCAAAATTCTCATCAATAGCATATACACAACAAGGTACTTACTATATACCGTTGGAGAGTTCCCTTGACAATTACACTTCTTCATCATCAGACCCTTAACTCGTCGAGTACCGGTTTTGCAAACACAATTATAGAACAATAAGTTGCGGTCACCGGTGACCGCTTGGTGTTTGACAGTTTAATGACAGTTCCTCCATTTAGATGTAAAGCTCTCATCAATGCAAATTAATCAAGCCCAAACACAAGGTAGTTAATATTTATTTATTTATTTATTTATTAAGAGTTACCAACATTTGATTACACAACACAGTAAGCATAATACAAGCAAGCAAAGAGGAATGAGCCTATGTGTAACAACAATTGAGGATTTCTCTCGACTATCTGACGGCTCCATCATAGACGCTTTACTTGCACCTAGAATTTTCGAAAGTTCCCTTCGGTTTCTTTAGGAATCCATCATCAGATCCTGACCTCATGAAAATGGGACCCTCTGAGGAGTATAACCTTGCAAACAAAACAAGAATTTTGGAAATCAGTTTACAAATAGCGGAGTAATCAGTGAACAATAAAAAAAAACAATCAGCCGAACATAGTACCTTCTCCTTTTTTTGTAATGTTTGATTGTTTTTTGTAACTCCCATAAAAATCTTTATGGCAGATATGGTTTTTTTAATATTATGTAGCACTTAAAGAAAGACTTATAGTAATATAATACTTTGATATAAATTTTGTTCTATATTATAACAAAGGTTACGATTATTGTTTCAGGTGTGTGTCTTCTTGTTTTTGGTGATCTTGGAGGGATTGTGTGAGTATTATGCCGCGCTAAATAGTAGCACCTACCAAAAACCGATGATTTTTAACCTCCTTAAGTAGTCACGCCATATAATGTCGTTTTTGCAACTCCAATATTTCCCAAATGGGGGGTCGCGAACCGATACCGGGCTATCCAAATAATATAGTACATATCCTCGGCTTATTTTACCAAGATACCAATATATGTGTACCAATAGAGTCTTAAAAATTTACTATTTTAATAAATGTGTATAGTTTTACAAAAAATATCAGGCCATGACAGAATCTTTGGGATACAATGGCAATACTTTATAGTGAGGTTTCGCGTTTTTATGGAATAGGGTGACAAACAAGCAATACCAAAGGAGTAACATGTACGTTGCTACTGTTTAAGAGATTGGGATTTAGTGATTATGCATCGGGGATTTGGAAATTGAGGTTGGGGGATATGGGGATTTGAGAATTGGGAAGGAAAAGGAGGATTAGAACTCCGGTAACTTCACTCATACGCCAAAGTACATCACAAGCCGGAGTTTCCTGTGAGGCTGTCGATCATAACACTCCAGTTGAACCAACTCACTTGTGCTGAAGCATGACTTTCCCATACAAGAAGCCTCACATTCTCTGCCTCATGCCTAATTTATTTATAATACTGTCTTTATTTTCAGATGCACATTTCTGGCCTTTATTCCCTCCTCTTCCACCACTGCCACCACTGCCACCACCGCCACCATTGTTCCAATTCAACATGGTACAATATTATTATGACAATGGGAACCATGATACCTTGGTCATGTAAAGAAATATTTATCCATTTGGCTAAGAGCAAGGCTAAGTCCTAATAAATATGAAGAGTATAAAACAACGTAACATTGTCTTATTTTCCCCGTCCGCATGGAGATACAAGAAACCAGTCCATATAAGCGGCTGCACTTGTGGTTTATAAATTCGATTGGTTTAATAGTTTAATATGCGTATTCTGCTAATGATTAGCAGCAGTACTTACTAAACATCAATGCGCAATATTTATCATTATCACCAGGTTTATATTATAACTATCATGATACATACTAAATTAATGCTGAATGCTGTTCATGAATATGAGCCTCTACCATAGCTTGACAATAGCCAAGTTCCTCGTTAAATAGAGTTATGTGAATAATCCGAAAAACATAATGAGCATTCTGTATAACACCAGTTAACCTAAGGTTACTGAAATCAAACATGCCTATGTCTAGACTGGTCGAATTGCTAAATATAGGAACAATTTTATCGAGTCTACCTAATTTTTATCTAGTGCGCGTAAAAGGTAGTTACTAAAAATAGTATTATTTTGTTTAATATCCCTTTCTATACACATTCGTTCTTGTAAATCAAAATTAATTTTACATTCTTGTGGATCATAATAATCAATTTATCACCAGACGCTGTACTAATAATAAAAGCCAGAATTTATTTAGTTCAACTTACTAATATCCTGAACTAATGGATTTCTTTTTTGTGTGTTAGATAGTTCAGTTCAGTATCGCGGAAGATTATAAAGCATCACACTTAGACCAATAGGAGCCGAGCAGCTTCTATGAGCGCGTGGAACTAGCTTATCTATACATATAATAAAATCGTAGAAAATTCAAAACTAGACATTGAATATTATTTTAAAAGAATACTTGGAGCGTGATCAATAATCTAAACCGAAGCAAAAAATATGGTTTTTAGAATTTTTGTCTGTTTGTCTGTATGTATGTCCGGGATGATCTCAAAAACTACTGCATAGATTAACTTCCAAGTCAAAGTCAAAGTCAAAATCATTTATTTCTATTAGACTAGGAAGGCACTTTTGAACGTCGAAACAAAATATTTAAATATTAAATAATAAGAAAAAAATGTCAGTCTGTAGGTGAGCCCTCTAGTGAAGCTATTTGCTCATTCCAAAGTGTAGATTCCTACGGAGAAGAACGAGCAGGAAACTCCATAGGTTACTCTTTCTCAATCATGTTCACAATCAAATGTCAAATTATTGGTTACATTCTTTCGTTGAATTCAATTATGTGAGAACAATGTAATACCAATATTTGGTCAAGGAGATGGAAAAAGAAAATAACCTTGAGGACAACAAAATTCAAAATCAAAGTCAAAGCATTTATTTCAATGAAACCATAGTTTGGTATTTTTGAAACGTTAACAAATACAAAATTAATAATAGTCTGTCAGTCAGTCCATCAGTGAAATTAGGTGAAGTTAGGTGCTCATTCCAAAATGTGTACAAATTTAATACAGTCTGGAGCTGACCAGTCCCATTTGGTAGCGCCCGTTCATGAACATGACACGTAACTCAACCATGTTGTAGGGAATCGCGCGATCCACTGCCCGTGCCACTGCCAATGAGATTTTTGAGTGAGCATGACAACTCCAAGCTGACTGACACACATGCATACTACTACACTCACACATTTACAATCTTTATATATTATATAATTCTTCTGTGAGTGTGTATGTCACTGAACTTCTCTCAAACGACTGGACCGATTTTGATGAATTCTTTTGTGTGTGTTTAAGGGGATCTGGGAATAGTTTAGATTCACAAATCAGCCCGGCAGATGGCGCTGCAGAAGATGTTTAGTTTATTTATCCTAAACAGCTAAACTAATTTTCTTTCTTTTCTTTCTTTCTTATACATTCAAGTGGATATGCAGGACAACGTCTGTTGGGTTCACTGGTAATTATATAAAGTTTGACAGTGTGTATTTGAATATAATGGTTATACATAATTGGAACTCATTGGAGCATCAATGTTTTTCGCTATCCTGGAGCCGGACCAGCCTGCCTGCAAGCATTTTTATCATCTATGTAATTATTAAGTTTGTAGTATGCTTTTGCACATAACGTTTTTTTAATATATAATTTAAATTTTGACCCATTTAAGTGTTGTATTTCCTCCGGAATTTTATTATAGCATTTAATATAGAATCCCATAAAGGACTTTTGTACTTTTGTCAATCTAAATAGTGGCTGACTTAATCTATCCTTATGTCTAGTTTGATAGTGGTGTCGGTCAGACACTTTACCAAACAACTGTAGGTTTTTCCTAACATACACAATGTTTTCATAAATAAATTGACCTGAAACGATCATAATATTGATCTCTTCAAACTTTTCTCTGAGAGATTCTCGCGACGACCTAGGTTGTAGATAGCTCTGAGATAAAGGTAGACTCAATGTCAGCAGCGTGTCCCTACAGCAAAATGCCATACGACATGATGCTATGGAAGTAACTGAAGTACACCAGTCTTGCCGTGTATATATCTTTATTAAGCACTTTAACATTTTGTGTACACTTCACAATGTCGCAAATTGATGAGGTCCTGTCAACGCAGAAATCCTTGGAGAGGAGATTCTCTCCCTTAGAAGAGATGTTCGCTGATGCCCGGGCCACACCAACGAGAAATGCCATTGCTTATCGCGATAATGCACGTTCACCGTAGGTGTAGCCACGAGTCAACGCGATAATTTGACAACGGCATTCACATTGCCATTTGGCATGATGGGCATTCACGTTGAAATTTCAAGTGTAGCCACCCACTTTATCGCGTTAAAATTATCGCAATAATTATCGTAGTAAACATCGCGATAATTGGCATTGACGTTGACGTTAGTGTGGCCCGAGCATGAGGGAATGGAGGCTGTTCATTGTCATTTATTGTTGGTGTCGTCAAGTGTCACTCTCTCCAATGACAGATGACATAATATAAGCATGTTCTCGTTGACATGACGAGAATTCAAGCGCGTTCTTTTTGTGCATCAATGTTTATGGTCGATTCAATGGAATTTTTAATTTTTTCGCTCTATTTATACCCACCTAGAAAAATCTTTACTTTGTTTTCATTTTTCTTTTTTTTTTCGTTTTTCGTGTCATTTGTTATTTTGTTTAACTTTCGTTGTGTATTTTGATGTGAGTGCTTTGATTGTCCTTTTTTTTCTGTTCTCTTTTTTATTTTATTTCAGTGTTGTTGATAGATGGCGGATGGTGCAGAGTGGATCTGTCAAAGAGTAAAATAAAAATAAGCATAGGGGATAAGAGTTGCCACTCGTCAAAAATTTATGCCAATCAATTTGAAACGCCATCTGAAAATTGAATCCTAGTATATTTTTTTTAACTAACGTCTACAGATAATCCTATACTCCGTCTGTTTAGGTAGTTAACTATTTGTAAACAAACACTAAAAAGAGTTCTTTATAGTTGACATTTCCATGACTCAAAATACTTCATAAGAAAATAAAATTGTTTCCATTTTTACGACAGTTTTCTCTATTAAATGTTATGTTTCTGTTCCTTTTCACTTATTTCTTAGTAAATATTATATATATCTGCTTGAGCATAATAATTTAATAACATTTTTTATTAAATAATATAATATTTCATTACAATAGACACCATAAAGAGCCTAAAATTCCAGGTATCCAAAACCTTTCTTTATGAACGAAACATTAGATAATGTTGTGAAATTAAAGAGTCCAATTAAGATGTAGCGCGACAATGAAAGTAGCGTGTATTACGTTTAGTCGGTTAATCAGGCGCCATTGACAGCTCTCTCGTCTTGTCTTTGTCTTGTTTTTGTTTTGTTTTTGTTATTACTTACGGTATTTAAGTTTAGGTTATTCATCGTTTGTAATTAATGTGTTCAAATATATTGAAGAAACTTGGCCCAAAGACACATATCCGTACAAGAAAAAATCCGTACATCAAATTCAGAATAGTTTCTATTTAAACATGATAATGAAATAGACCCATAGGCTAGGCTTTTGTACGATTTAGGCATTTGTGCTTGTATGTGTGTGTGACAAATGAACGATGTTAAAGTGAATTTAGTAAATTAAAACACGAGAAATATTTGAAGTAATAGAAGGTTAAGTATCTCTGTGTCACGTGGTTTTGTTTGTTTACCTTTAGTTAATTACCTAAACAGATGGACTATAAGTGTAGCTACTGCCAATACTACCAACAATGTACCTTGCAGGTTGGTACATTGAAGGTAGTATTGGAATTAGCTGTCTGGTAGCTGCAAAATCAAAGAAGTTATTAATTACAATATTACATTTATTTTACAGTACTTAAATACAAATTAACATTTAAAAATTATCAGCTACTAGGGAAATATCAGACATTAGATTTGTTCAAAGTATAATTCTAATTTTAGTTCTTTTTAATTTTATGTTTACGATTTCAGATATAAATATGTCGTTCAAAATTTATATGAATTACTTAATTTATTAAAAAATTAATTACAAAATAACTTTTCATAATTGTTGATCCCACAAAGAACTAAAATTAAAAATATATATTTACTGTTCACCGTTGTTTACACAGTACCTAATAGTAGTTAACAATCTAATGATATAAATTAACCGTAATACCTATACAAATGTAGTACATTTTACCATCGATTTGAATCGCTTTCAGTATTTACAAAAACACAAAATTATTATACAATTTACATAACATACATAACATTACGCCTTTTTATCCCCGAAAGGGGTAGGCAGAGGTGCACATTTTGGCACTTAATGCCACGGTACAATGGAACACCCACTTTTGACTATTTATGATATGAGTCCCATGTAATAGAGGGTGAGCCTATTGCCATATACCGGGCACATTTTCACATTTCCTCTACTCTACTACTACTGAGATTTTTTAAAAACCCAGTAACACTTTGCCCGACCCGGGTATCGAACCCGAGACCCCTTGCCGCACTTGCGACCAGTCGG